GACTTAGCATGAGAAAAACTATATAAAACATCTCATTTGCAATTTTCACACTTACTAGCCAGTTGACATGACAACATCGTGGATACACTGTGTTAAAAAAACAGTAAAATTAATTTAACATGTTTCTTTTCCTTTTTAATATGACTACTAGAAAATTCGTAATTGCATATGTGGCTTACAATATACTTCTGTTGGACAGTACTGTTCTGGAATAATTGCTGTGAAACTTTAATATGTATAAGAATAACCCAGGGAGCTTCTTACCATGTGACTTACCAATTTAGTGCAAGAGAGTTCACAACAGGTCCAGGGTTGTACCCAAAAGCTGCATTTTAAGCAAGCACCCCCAGGCGACACTGAGGGGTCGGAAGAGCCCTGCTCTAGAGGAAGGGCCCACAGTCCTGATTAAACTAGTTCTAGATAAAGGCCCAAAGCTCCATCAGAGAGTCATGGTGGCAAAGGCCACAGCTATTCTACAAGCCAACAGCTACCTGCTCTGCCATCCTTCAGGCTACGTCCCTCAACCAGTTTCTTGCCTAAATTATTACCTGTCAGCTATTGCCATGAACTTCAAACACTAACTGCTCACCAGACTGGACTCCCAAGAGTATGCCACTGGACTTGTTCTCCATGAACCCCAGTCACCACTTCTCCCTCCTTCTCATCCCACCCAATACGCCATCTACTCCACTGAATGGGTCAGTTGCCAAAACAGGGCTCTCTGAACCCAGCCTACTCCGTTGCATAAGACATTCACACCATTAAAAACATATTAAAAATAATTGTAGGACTACCAATCCTAGCATTTATATAAAAATTTACTATTTCTAAACAACTTCTACTCATACATCAAGTTTTAACATTATTATGACAACTATTAAAGACAAAAACTAGTTTGGTATTAAATTTCAGTTCTCACTAGCCATTTGATTTAATCAAAAGTCAAAAAAGTATCTTTAGCCCATTTGTCATTCAATAAATGGCATTGGGAAAATTGGACAGATATTTGCAAAAAAAGGAAACCAGGTGACTTTCTAATACCACACACAAGAATAAATTTAAAATGGATTAAAGACTTAAATGTTATACCTGAAACAATAAACATCATAGAAGAAAACATAGGCAGCAAAATCCCAGACATTGCTCACAGCAATATTTTATCAGATATAACTCTTCAGACAAGGGAAACAAAAAACAAAATTAACAAGTGGGACTACATCAAACTAACATAGTTTTTGCACAACTATTTGGAAATCATCAACAAAATAAAAAGGCAACCCACAAGATGAGAGAACGTATTACCTAACACATCTGATAAGGGATTCATGTCACAAATTTATAAAGAACTTACAAAAATCAACACCAAAAACCAAACAGCCCATTTAAAAAATGGGCAAAGGACCTGAATAGACAATTCTCCAACAAAGGACATACAGATGGCCAATAGACATTGAAAAGATGCTCAGTGTCATTAATCATCAGACAAATGCAAATTAAAACAACAAAGAGATACCATCTCACATCTGTCAGAATGGCCATCATCAATAAATCAAAAAACAAGTGCTGGTGAGGATTACCCTTTGTGACAGTATGGATGGACCTGGAGAACATTATGCTAAGTGAAATAAGCCAGTCAGAGAAAGACAATTAAATATCATATAATTTCACTCATGTGGAATCTAATGAACAAACTGAAATAACAAGCAACATAAAGACAAATCCATAGATGGACAGCGGATCACAGCTGGTGGCGGGGAGGGTAGGAGATGGAGGGATGGAGCAAAAAGGAACAAGACTCATAGGTGTGGACAACAGTGTGGTGATTGCTGGGTGGCAGGGGCCTACATGGTAATGAAAAAATGCAATGAAAATTATTAAATTAAATAACAAAAGTCAAAATTCCCAAGAAATATAATGTTGATTCATTTTAACAAATTTCTTTTACATCAATATTATTTTCATTTTTTAAATTTTTCCATCATGGAAGACCTTGGTGTAACTATGGAATTTTTAAAATTCAGATAGCACACAAAGTAAATAAAATGTTTCCAAAATCTAACCACGCAGAGATAGAACTTGTTTTCCTTTGGGGGTGTTTCTTTCTAATTCTTTTTATATGGTTTTGATTTTATTCTATACATATTGCCACGTCCAACACCTTACCCACCTTTCAGGAAACCCTGGACCCTGCTGCAGCTGGACCCCGGTATATATAGTTGGACAGACTTATTTTTCACTCAACATTTTTAAGTTTATAAAACTATGCCATTCTTTAAAATATACAGTTTTCTCACCAGAAGCATAGCTTTTGTTTTCTTACATGTCCTATCTTAGTAAAATGCTAGATTTTCTTCATTATAAACCTTAAAAGCTTAAAGAAAATAATTTCTCAGTTTTCTTCTCTGTGGGGGCCTATTATCAGTGGACTATTTTTCAGTTATTTTTTCTATACACAGTTATTAATAGCATTTTGGAAAGCTGCTGGTTTTTAAATGTTTATTTTCTAACATAGGGTAGATTACAAAATAACATTTTCGATTCATTTTCTTGGGCTTTCTAGATATACAATCAAATTTCCTATAAATAATTATATCTTGCTATTTCCAAGTTATATAAGCTATTTTTATTCCTTGCTTTGTTGACCGAATACAATTCCAAGAGTGATCTCTACTGCCCACAGTTGGGGAATATTTCCCACAAAACTCTTTGCATAAGGTATGGCAGTATCCTCTAGCCTAGTTGGATGCCTTCAGGAGAATGCATTTAGACCTGGGCATCCTAATGCAAGAGGCCCATTGTCAAAGGAAACATGTTTGAATGAGAGTGGCCATGATGAACTCCAGGTCCTTGAACCCACATTAGATCATGAAAAGTTGAATTGGGGTATTTGTTCTGGAGAGTAGACACTCACTAGAATGTGATGAAATACAAATTTTCATTAAAACAGGAGATAGACATGTGTTTCTGCTCTCCAAAGAGATGCACTAGGAACAAACTACATAGAGGCCAGTGTTTGGCCAATGTAAATGATTTTAATTAAAAAGCAAGTGGAATACCTTGGTAGGAAAGACACTCTCCCAAAGGAGATATATTCATATATAGGGTCCACAGTCCATTGCAGAGATATTGTGAGAAATATTTGAACATCTGATAGGTAGTTAGACTGGACGTCCTTTAAGATTCATCTTACTTCATATTTCATATTTCCACAACTATTTTGTTTACTGAAATTTATTTAAATACAAACAGAAGTAGTGCCATTGACCCTCAAACAATGAGGAAGTTAGGGGCATCAATCCACACACAGTTGAAAATCCATGTATAAAATTTGACTACCCCCAAACTGAGGTTGTCCCTCAGAATCTATGGGAAATTGGCTCCAGGAACCCCGGTGGACACCAAAATCTGTGTATGCTCAAGTAAAGCATGCTCGTCCAATGCATACAATTGGTCCTCACACCCATGGGCTCCAAACTGTGGTTAGAAAACAATACAGGCATTTTTGAGAAAAAAATGCGCATATAAATGGGTCCATACAATTCAAACCAGTATTGTTCAAGGGTCAACTGTATATCAAAACAACCCTGCTATTTTTAGACTAACTTTTTAGTAAGCACACCCTAAAATTTAAATATATATCATAAATTTATATGACTAAATGTGGAATAATACTTTCTCCAATCATTTCTTCCACCTGCAGTCTTAATCAATCAACTATTTATTAACATAGGCAAAACCATCAATATACCTAGAAAACAGCAAGAAATGGATGTGCAGGTTTAACTATCAGCATGAAAAATGTTCTACTCATTTTTACCCCGTTGTAAAAGAGTACATATATATAAGCATTACTTGAATTTCCAGCCAGATACTGCTATCAGAGCACATACTATTCAAGAATTGTGCTTTTCCTTCCCAACAAGGATACCTCCTCAGGAAACAGGTAATGAAAGCTGTTAACTGTTTCATATCTTTCTCATTCAAGATTGATGTTACTGCGGAAGCAAGGGGTTGGGGTTGGGCAGAGGAGAGCAATGAAGGAAAACTGAGACAACTGAAATAAACAGCAACAAAAAAGATTAACATTAAACCTGTATCTTCTCACACTCCCCAAATATCCCTGGGCAGCCTTTGTCCAGCACTTTTTTAAAAAAAATTTATTGTCGACATTATTACAGATGCTTCCCATTTCCTCCCCTTCCCCCCTCCACCCAGCCCCTCCCCTGGCCTTCAGCACATTTTGGCCTGTGTCCATGGGCTATGCATATATGCACACATGTTCTTTGGCTAATCTCTTCCAGCCCCCCAAATAGCAGCAAACTGCTTATAAGATAGAAACCTACTGAAAAGTGATTATATGATCCTTGATCTAATCTTGGGGGATATAAGTATCACCATAAGCATTTTATTTAAATAATCTTGCTATAATTTATATGACCCCCTATGACTACTATTACCCTTAACCAACAGATGTCAACATTAGTGATTTACCCCAAAAGTACAGAATCATGACATGTTACAGAGCAGGCAAGGCATAATTCTTATGTGCCAGTTTTGATGTGCTTGTGACCGTTGGTGATCTTATGAAACATTTGATCCCAGAAATAGCAACAGAGAACAAGCCTGACTGGTGAGTAGGGTGGTGAGTTCATGACAGAAACAAGAAACTGCTTCTCACTGGACACTCTGGAGCATTCTCTTCTCTTCAGACACAGAACAATATTCTAGAACTGTGGGCTGATATGAAATGTAAAATACAAAGAAAAGCTCTGTTCTGAAAAACAAAACCCAGAATGAATAAGTCATGGAAATCCTTTACCTCCCTTGACAGCCCAACTCCCCAGGTGCCGAAAGATGGCACAGAGAAGAATGACCTCTATTGTTCAGGAAGCTGTATGGGTGGATCAGCCAGGCCCACTGAGAAGACTGTGCATGCAGCTTATGAGCCAAAGTTGACCTGTCTCCCCAGAGCTGCACACAGGGCAACCAGAGAAGAGGCCATGGATGCTCATGTCCAGCTCGTGAGAGTTGTCCAGGAAATGCAGGCCAAGATCAACACTCTGGAGAAGGAGAATCGAGCCCTCCGGATGATGCTGACTTCAAACAATCAGAGAACCCCAGGCTCAGAGGGACAATCAGGAGATGAAAGGGAAGAGGAAGTCACCGACTCTGGTAACCTAGGAAAAGTGCCCGGACAACCTCCAGCAACTCCTCATGGCTGTATTTCCACTGACACTGCATCAGATGTGCGTGAAAACCAAGGTAAAAAAAAGTTCACAGGTCTTCCGGGCTGTGCTCATGTTCACAAATTATCTCCTAAATGGCAGGCTTACTGTGCCTCTCACGTAACTGTATCATTTGATGTTAACAGTGGCAAGTTTCTTTTTTTGTTTTCTATTGTAGGGTGACCTTTAAGCCTTGGGGCAAACTTTTTTTAGCATCATTAAACAACATGTTTTGGCAACATTAAAACTATTTCCATATATTCCTACAAAGAACAAAGGCAGGTTTGTGAAGATCAGTCATATTTCAAACAATGTGTTTTTACTTCAAGCATTTAAATGCTATGTAAGTGAACACTGAATGGATGCACGTCAAGCAGCGTGTTCACTTACTAAGTGTGAATGATACTGCACAAGAGTTGAGTGTATGAACATCAGAGTCAGACAAGTACAGATGCCAATGATTGGTCACTCCTTAGCCACTTGACTGATCTTTCATTTTCATGGTCTTCATTTGAAAATGTTCTAGTACTAATAAATCAACAAACAAGGTTGTTGAGAATGTGAAGGAAAGGGAACCCTTATGCACCATTGCTAGAAAGTCACCTCCACACAGAAGTTCCTCAAAATTCTCTTACAAAACTACCTTATATCCCAGCAATACCACTTCTGGGTATTGTATAGCTTTAAAAAAAAAACCAAAATACCAATTCAAAAAGATATATGCACCTTATGTTCATTGCAGTGATATTTACAATAGTCAAGATACAGAGCAACCAAGTGCCCATACACAGACCAGTGGATAAGAAAGTTGTGGTACATACATACAATGAAATATTACTTGGCAAATTAAAAAAATAAAATTCTACCATTTGCTACAACATGGATGGACCTACAGGGTGATATACTGAGAGAAATAAGTCAGACAAAGACAAATGCCATATGATTCTACTTACACGTGGAATCTAAAGAACAAAATAAATGAACCAACAAAGCAGAAATAGGCTTGTAAGTACAGAGAACAGACTGATGGTTGCCAGAAGGGAAGGGATTTGGGGGGCTGGGTGAAAAGGCTTAGGGGATTAAGAAGTACAAATTTATAGTTGTAAAATAGTCATAGGGATTTAAAGTACAGCCCTGGGGATATATTCAATAATATTCTAATAACTATGTACGATGCCAGGTTAGGTACTTGAATTAGTGGGGTATCACTTCATAAATTACATAATTGTCTAATCACTACACTGTATACCTGAAATGAATACCAAATAATATTGAATGTGAATTGTAATTTAAAAATAAAATTAACAAGAGAAACTGTTACTGTACCCATCCCAGACAGTCGTGAGAATTAACTGCAATAATAGATCAAGTGCTTGGTATTAGCACCTGGCGAACACACAGCAAAAGGCAGATATTGTTGCTTATCCGTGTTTTACAAAGAACTTTACTGTCCTGTATGAATGTATGTTATACATAATTCAACCTACTATACAAGTTGAATGCTTCAAGATGCAAGGTCAGTGTTAATATATTCTAAACGTCCAATCTCTCACCTTTTACTGAGAATAATTTTGACTGTGAAGGCTATACATGAGGTCAGAAATGAACAGAGGAAAAAATACCTCCTACATTGAAATTTTCAGTGCTTGCCTACAAACAGAATATCCAAATAAAATTGGTATACATAATTAAACACTCAAAGCCCTCTTAAATCCTCTGCCAAAGGCTTTGGGCAATTCCATTTAGAAGTCCTGAGCAGCTTGGCAATGAGACATTGTCCTACTTACCAGCTGCTTCTCTCTGTTAAAGAACGCTCTGTCTAGGATGCGACCCTATGTTTCAAAGCTGGAAACAGATTTAAATCAGGGCCTTTTCCCTTTTTGTCAAGTACAAGTTTGGATCTGAGTAGTTCTGTCCGCTGGTTATTTAATAAAATTGAAAGCATAACCCATGAGGAGGTCTGAATTTCTTCTGGTAAAAAAAAATGGACATTTATATCTCCCTGCTCTAGGGCTTCATAACCTCTGGATTCTCAACTTTGGGGGCCGAGTAATTCTGTATTGTAAGGGTCTGTCTTGGACCTGACAGGATGTTCACCCATTTCCCTGGCTTCCAAGCACTAGATGCCAGTAGTACTTGCCTCCCCTCTCCAATCATGACCATCGGAAATGCCCTCAGACATTCTCAATGTCACCTGGGGGACAAAAGGTCCTCCAGCTGGAAACCACTGCCTTACTCCAAAGGTCAAAAACTCTCCTTCACACCTATTTTCTGTGATGCTTATGCTCCTAAGAAAGCATGGTCTTCGTGTATCTTCTGCTATTCTAAAACAAGCAGTATACTGTTCAAAGAACGGAGCATGCCATCAAGCTGAAAGGAGTTTAGAATATTAATAAGCAATTGATATAACACTTCTTCAGCCTATGGAGAATAGCTTCCAATAAGAATATTAACATTATGTTTGAAAGGGCAGGTGAGAAACATTTGATAAATTTTGGGAACGCTTACTTGTTGACAGGGACCAAACACAGAAAGAAATATGACTTAAATCTATGGTCAGAAGCCCAGTTTAGTTACTTTAATCCGATACTTTAAACTTCTGTTTACGTCAAACAGAGGTGTAAGGGAGGGGCTTCCTTACGCTTCTATGTTAGTTCATGGTAAAGCTGCGAGGAGAGATGTTCGAGATTTGAAAACATTTATTGGGTTGGCCAAAAATTCCGTTTAATTTTTTTCTGAAAAATAAAAGCCCCATCTTCATTTTCCGCAATAACTTAATTGATTTGGATAGTTTGAGTATGTCCGCTATCTCCCCCATTGTATAAGACTGGGTATTCTCAAATGTCTCAGTTTGATCACTGTCACCTGCATCCGGTCCACCCAACCATGGAACATCATCCCAGGAAAAATCCCCAGCGTGAAACTTCACAAAAACACTTTTGACACATTTGATCAGTCACAGCACCTTCTCCATACACTGCACACATCTGCTTTTTTCCATTTCAGTTGCATTTTCATCTTTTTTGAAATACTAAAGCATAATATGCTGACCATGTCACTTATTTTCTTCCATTTTCAATCATTGAAATGGCTGCACAAAAATTCACCAATTTTTTAAGCGCACTCTGATCTGACAGCTATCACAATACAATCTAGCAACATTGTTTTGAATGAAGCTAAAGACAAGTAAGCACTACTGGACCCATCTTACAGAAATAAAACCAAAGTGTGAGGTTAGTGCAGTAAGCCTGGGGGGTGACTCGATGTCTGAGTGGATCTTGGATGACAGGCCATGTGGTCAGCTGGCTCAGTGTTAGAGCTGAGACTCAGACAAACCAGGACTCCCTCAAAGGAAGCTCTTTTCATCAGTGCGCTTTAGTTACTAGGAATGGTTCTAAAAGATTTGGGTTACCTCAAGAAAAGAGCTTATCAGAAGACATTATGGACAGAAATTGAACTGGAAACCTTCAGAAAGTGAGGCCACAGTCTCTCCCTCTCTCTCAGCAGCGCTCCAGTTTTCACAAAAGACATTTTTGCTTCCTTCCATGTGTCCACTTTTCTTTCATCCCTCATTCAACAAGCTGCCTTATAATGACTCTCCCAACGAGAGCCAAAGCACACAATTATAGGCCGCTTAGCAGCAGCCAGACCGAATACCTGTGGCCACTCAGGTGATGAGGGACTGTGGATGAGCAGGATCTTGAGACTCAGGAGTGAGAGAGCCATGCAGAAAACATCAGCACCAGCATCTCTGTTTAAATGCTATGTTTCCAGAAAGTTCTTTCCTGGTCACACACCTATATGGCCTTCAGACCCACTCCCTCCTCTGTCTCCACCCCCTTGCCTTCATCAGCCTTATTTGTCTTCCTAGAATCTATCGCTAACCTGAATTTCATTGTTTGTAAATTGTCTGCTTGCCACACAACAGGGTAAGCTCTATGCAGGCAAGAATTTTTTCTGTTCACTAGCACATCCCCCTCTCTTAAAAATGTTGAGAGTTTTTGTAAAATAAATCAATGATTGGATGTCTTTTATGCAAAAAAATAATAATTGTTTTGTGTAGTTAGTTTCAAGAAAATCTATCAACACAATTTTCCATTTCTGGACATTATTAAATATAGGGTTTTTAAACTTAAATTTTGTGTCTCCTGTACAGGCCACGTCATGATTGTTAGGCGCTACTCTGCGTCCTCGCCAATCCATTTACTTGCTGCAAATGATCCCTGGAAACCTGGGAAAAGACATCTAAATAGTAGAAATCTAGAAGCTCGGGGAACAGTTCAATCACTGGAATGTTCTTCAATCAAGAAGAAAGACAATGAAGAAAAAACGCTTGCAGAAGATTCTTTTACCAGCAAGAATTGCCGCTACAGAGCCCTTCCTGAGCCCGTTCCTGGCTGCAGGTAAGGTCCAATCTGCCCTAAAGCTAGTTTACACGTACGTATGCTGTGATGGCTACTGAGACATTCTCTTGGATGGCCAAGGTCATATCTAGTGGAGGAAAGAAAACCAAATAGGCTACTGGGCCAAAATAACTTCTATCTTACTTATGTCCATTTCTGGTATCAAAAAGAACACATTTATTTGAAGTCAAATGGCACTCTCTAATACATGACTCTAATAAGTGGAAAACAGTCTTCACTTACTCATCAAACATTATTAATGATCATTCTCTGAGCTAGGAATCAGTGATACAAGAGGCAACAAAAATAAAACATTGTACCTGAAACTTTGAGGAACTGACAAGGACACATACATAAACTGACCCCCTACAATAAAGTATGTCCCAGGGAGAAGAAGACAGTTACTTTAGAAGCCGAGCCCAGAAGTCCCCTCTGAGAGAGAACTGTCCTTGTGGAGGAAGGTGTCTTAACAGGCTTTGGGGGGCATAAAAAGGGCCCTTGAAGCATAACCTAAAATGGCCAGAAGACAAAGTGAAAACTAAATGCAACGCAAAATATGCAAATTGGCATTTTGGAAGTGAGAAGCTGCCTGAGAGCTGGAGGGCCTGGGAAAAACACCGGAGAGACAGCTGGGGAGTCTAAGAGGAATGCTGGCCGGCCAGTGCCCCCTGGGGCGGGCAGAGCCAAGGGCTCCTTCAGAACGAGAGTGTTACCATCAAGCAAAATGTATCTGCTCTAAACAGCTAGATCTTGACCTCCCTGCCCCACACTCTGCATTTCTATTTTCCATCCCCCGCCTCAGCCCTAAGTCTTTATCAAGAGTCTGTACACATTGGTCTCCTCAAAGTAGAAGGAGGAGAATAAAGAAAATTGGGCCTGAGTTTCATGATTAGCTTATTGCCAAGAAGAGAAAATGGAACAAATACGGTTGAGGAGAGAATAAGGGAGGCATCTAATCTGGCAGTGGCAGGCAGTCAAATCAAGAGATAATCAGAAGTAACAGGCTGGTGGGAATTCTCATAAATGTTGGAAAAAGCAATGGACTTGCCACAGGATGTGGGGTACAAAGGTAGAGCCAGTTTTATGTGAATTGCACAAGGCAGGATGAAAACTGTATTTCACTTTATAGGAAGTTCTGTTACAGGAGCAAAGAGGGTAACCAGACTCATGCAGACAGGTGGGCCTAGCCAGGCAGAGACAAGTGGGGAGTGCGTCCCAGGTAGAGCAAAAATAACAGCGAGGCAGAGGGAATTATAACTGTGGTGAGTGAAGTGATTGAGGATGGAGAGGTGAGCAAGATCCAACAAGAAAGACCTCCCATGAGCTCAGAGTGCGCGCTTTATCCAGTAATTATGGGAGATCTAACAAAGATGTGTTCATGAAAAATTTCAACATACAGAAAATTTCAGAAACTGATGTTACCAATACTAATGCATGCATCTGTAAGGTTTTGTCATATATTCTTCATTTTTACATATAAAAGAAAAAATGTTACGAATAAAAAGAGAGAACCTATAACCCTCTTCCCCAGTCCTGAGGAGCAAGTATTATATGAGTTTAGTTTCTATCCTTTGAGTATATTTTTTATGCCTTCATTACATGCATTCGTTCATTCAACAAACACATCCTGAAGATATACCATGTGCCGGGCAGGATTCCAGGCACGGAGGACCCAGCAGGACACAGAATTCTCAAAAATCCCTGCCTATATGGGCTTGTTCCTTTGTAACATGATAGTCGATAAACGTGAAATGCATAAAATATATAATATGTTGGACAGCTGCAAGGAGCAAGCATTGTTGAAATTTTTATATCATGGCCAGGAAATGCCTCACCATGTACGTACAGAAGAAAGGGGGATTCTGAGGATTTGGGGTGCAGGTGGGTGGGACACATTCTAGGCATTGAGAACAGAGAGTGCAAGGTACTGAGCAGGCTCATGACTGGTGTTTGAGGAAGGTGAGGAGGCAGGTGTGGAGGCGGTGGAGTGGGAAAGAGAGAAAGCAGAGGGAAGTGAAGGAAAACACCCAGGTGGACTTCCAATCCCCCCAATGATTCTGGATTTATTCCACGTGAATTGGGGTGCATAGCATACTCTTACCACGTGGTTTTAAAAAGATCATATCAGTAGCCCTGCTTTTTAAAAAAAAACTCTACACAAACAATACAGAAAACAAGACCAGATTTAAGGCTAAAAATAGTAATCTGGGCAAGAAGCAATGGTTTCTTGGCCAAGGGTTGTAACGGTGAGCACACTTTCTGAATGTGTTTTGAAGGTGAAGCCAGCACATCCGTGTTGCCACAGGGGCTGTGGGAGTAGAAATAAAAAATACTCACCCAACTATCGTGTTCCGATGGCTGTGTGTTTTCAAAGAGGGAGGAGAAGCAGATGTGCCCTTTGCCTAAAGAAATTACACATACATAGATACACATATACTTCTGGTCACATGAAAACACAAAATGTAATCTTTGTAAAACATTACAAATTACAAAATACAAATGCAACATTAAAGTAAGACGTCTACAAAGGAACACCTTCCATATTCCCATGCACGGACAAGCATCATTCAGGCTGTGACCGATGCCTTTCCAGGCTCAGGTCCACACAGTCTGAAGTTGCACAGTGCATGCTTTATAATGTTATGTTTTTTTTCTCTTAAACCATTACATTCTCACAGACCTACAGTGTTCATTGAGAAATACAGTAGTATCAATTTCCCCACTTTGGTGTATATATTTTCTGTGATAGTTTGGGAACCTACCCAATGTTTATGATGTATTATTTCTCTGAAACAAAACATTTTCCAACTTCCGAGCTGCCAACAAATAAACTATTGGAACACCACCCATTTCTAATTTGGAATCTACTTTAATTTGAAAGATTGAGCCAATTTTGGGACTGTGTTAAAACAAGAAGCTAAGTGATGGATGAAAATCAACAGCTAGGTTGGCACAAAATCCAGCAAATAGAGAGAGAACAGTTGATTAGGAATTATACATATTTTTTCAGATTTTTTTCTTTTACTTTCTCAAGGATTAACTAGTAAAGTGACATGTCATTGCATTATTTCTCTGGTGGTTTTGGTAGATTTGTTTACTTTCTAACAGCTTTCCAAGAATTTTACAAAGATTTATGAAGACCGGTTTGTCTGGACTGGCTTTTTGGAACAGTCAGACATAAAAACTAATTTGCTTGTGAACTCCTCCACTATTATGTTGAGGAAGTATTTTATAGAATAATGCCAATGTCAATACCTCTAAGAACCAACGCTCTTGCGAAACTAGACATAGGATTTTAATTTTTCCTGGATTTCAACATAGAAATGCAATCTTTTCCTCCTGTGTTTAGAAAGAAAAAAATAATAATCTCAAGCTGTCAGAAAGATTAGGAGAAATGGCCCATGGAAACACCTAAAGTTACAAGTGCTGTTCTATTTATTTTACTGATAGGAGAAACCAGACACATCAAACACGATGCACTGTCTTCATTTCCTATAACCAGGGGGTTAACAAAGCAGCCACGGACTCACGTGCCAGGAACTCCAGCTCCACCATTCACCAACAACACGGCCTTGGCAAAGTCATGGTATATCCTGTGCCAGTTTACTCTTCTGTAAAAAGGCAGTCATGATAGCAGTTACCGTAATGCTTTTGTGAAGAAGAAATAAGGCAGCCAAGGGAATGCTTCCTAAGTCCCGGCAGGTATTAGTTTATGGATCCCAATAAGCGGAACCACTGGCCTCCCTCCCAAGGGAGGGAGCTGATGTGTGCCCCGAGACGCAGGCCACTAACTGCCACTCACTGGGATTATGGCCTTACTTAATGAAAGAGAGAGAACAAAATTGGAAAAGGGGCAGTAAGTTTAAACACTATTCTCTAGGCTTCTTCCTGGGAGCAGTTTGTCCTGCTTTATGTCAAAACTCTACACAGGGCTGTGAGAGGGAAGAGAGAAATGGGCAAAATGAAAAGATAATCACTCACGTAGTGCCGGGTTATTGCTGTTGATATTCTCTCCCCCTTTATTGTTCGGACATGATGGATATTCAGTTACTGCAAAGTCCATAACTGCAGATTGATCTGGTTTATAAAATAATTGCCTCAGATTCATGCTTTTCAATTAAAGAGCTTGGGTGGGAAAAGACCTTCTGCCTGAGGGGGCAGGATAGTCTTCAATTTTAAACATCAAGCCGATGATTCTCAAGCAAATGGACCCTTTCTCGGTATTTACAAATTTTAGTGTTATCAACACTCTTCTCTGGACTTCATTAGAGGGCCAGTTTCAACATGTAGTCTAGAACTATCATTGAGCAAATACACAAAAAGAAAATATTATGATATATTTTAAATGAAGTTTTAACACTCTAGGCAGTGGTGGGTGACTTGGAAAAAACTGAATGTTTTGTGTAAAAGCCACTAGCAAGTTTTATTTCTCTTCCCCTTATTCTGCTTTCTTTAGGGACAAGATAAAGACTGTCAGTTTCCTGTTACCCATGGACATAACTCCATATTCCAAAAATTCAAGTTCTTTGAAGTACCCAGCAAATCAGAGTGCAAACCAGCTGAGTACCATTGCAGAATAGAATGTCGTAAAATGTGTGATGTCGTAAAATTTAAGAAACAACTGATGCCCAAGACATGGGAACACCAGGGCCTCACTGGGTCCGTTTCCTCTCCTGCAAAGAGCTCTGGCAAGACGTCCAGTAAGACATACTCGGCGTCAGGTCAGTGGACTTGTCAATGGACTTGGCTGAGAAATGGAAGCGATGACTTTGTGTTGGTGCCGAATGCAAAGGCTGATGTGTGCGTGGCAGCTGTGGCAGTCTCTCTATGCAGCACACAAGCCGTTAAACGTGAGCAAATTCACTTGTCTGCTCAGTGTTCAGAATCTGTGTTATGTCATCAGAAAATGCCACCGTTCCCATTATAAGTGTCACTCTCCAGATCAAACTAACAAATCTAGAGCAATAGTGATGTCCTTACACTTCATTGTGCTTTGTCATTTCACTGACACTCTCTCAGTGGGTCCTTTAATATCCCATGTCAATGGCACACACTGTGGTCTCAGCACAACTGTGGGCTGGCTGGGCAAAGACAATAAACCAGGTTAGGAGGAGAGAGAAAAGGCTCAGGGTCATTCCCTGGGACTGGAAGTCTCAGAACTACCTCAAGAACTTCTAGTCAACAGAGTATCTCCACTTCCTGGTTTGCAACAATCACATTTTAATACCAATACCCTTTTTAAACAAATACATTAAAATGTCTAGAGTGTTGAAATGCAGATTCCAGGGCCCTGCCCCAGACCAACTAAAGTGGTTGGAGAGGTTGGGAAGCAGGCAGAGAGAAGACTAGAAACTCAACTCTCAACCTTTAAGCAAGCCTTTCCAGGCGATTTCTGCTATTTAGTTATGCTTGTGATCTGAGAAAGCAAGAACATAGTCCAAGGCTCCCCTAATCCAGTGCTAAGTTGAAGCGGAAGCAGCTGAAACAAGGAAAACGCAGGAATGGTCCTATCCATTTCTAGGAAAGGATTTCAGTGGTCGCAAAAAAGTCCTAAAGGAAGACGGCTGAATTAAGGAATATGCCGAGGCACAAGCTACATACTGGGGCAAATGCTTCATTTACTGCCAACATTGTAAGAGCTACACAATGAGGCAAGATTACAACCAGAAGGAAAAGGTACAAATGAGATGTAAAACAATTAATCTGGGAACAAAGATACATACCAAGTAGGTAATTAACCTTTGAGATTTTTAAAAACAACAGCTATTTTTAGTTTGTGCACAATTATATTATCTGTATCTTTACAAAATGGAGAATTTTGTGTTAACATTAGTTTAAAGAAACATTTCCCAAGCACAAGAAAAAGCAATCAATGACAACCACCCAAATTAAATTGCCATAACTGGCAAAGTTATAATAATGAATTACCACCCATGCCAAGCTCAAGGACTGGTCTGTAATTGGCATTTCGTACATGTTCTGTGAACTGAACTGAATTCATGGTAATTCCAGTCTGACAGTCCTATAGGATTCCATGCTGCCCCCTGAACTGGCCACACTAAGCCAGTCATTCAATTCAAAATGTTTGTAATTTGAGGCATTCCCAATTCAATGAAGGTGGTCTCTACATTCTCAGTGTCCAAGGTACCTAAGAATCAAATGAGATCCTGTATGTGGATAATTGTCTAAAGCACTAAACAAATACGAGACACTGTTATTGTTTTCCATTCAAGACATAGATTTCCAACGTAGGCCTAAGTTTAAATAAAGGTGTTAAATTAATTTTAAAAATTATATGTCAGATTGCTAGCTTTTTTTCTAGCTTTTAATTTTTCTCTTGGTTAAATTGATGAGGCATCAGGTAATAATAGATGGACAGCAAAACTCTTCCCTAGCATTCAGTCCTTGCTTAACCTGTGAAGAAGGGAACAAAGAAGTAGGAAGAGGAAACCACCCCATGATGAATTCTTAATGGTCATCAATACTACCAATGACAACAAATTAATAACTCTGTGGGTGCTGAAAAGCCAAAGGTTAACAACTACATCAATTATCAATGTACACCAATCTCTGCCAGAGCTATCTGCTTTCATAAAACAATGTGGTCTTCTGCAAATTTGCTTTACCAAATAGGTGTATGGAAACAAAAAAGATTTAAATAGCAAGCCCTGGCAATTTTTCTAGCATCCCAGTTCTGTCTGTTTCCACTACCTTGAGATCCTTCTCCTCCCTAAGCTGTGAATCTAGAACAAGTAACCAAAAAGATAGCTGTGTACAGGAACAATGTGAAACATTACAGAGTTCATTTGATTACTTAGTCCAAATTCCAGTTTATCTTCCAGAAAACAGATCATAGGGCCCTCTGTGAGTCCTGGCAGGCACAACCATTGAGCTTGATAGTTTTTGCCACCGAAATAAAATGCAGAATACAGTAATATCTGCTGATTATGGAAATCCACCATCAGTAGAACTTGAAGAATATGATAAAACAATCTGGTAGAGAAGTATGTGGTTATTACAATCAAAAAGTAATGTTCAGTTGTATTCCTTTCTTAAGAGACTAAGCTCTGCCCCCTGTGGCAATACTTGATTTTTAAATATCAATGCAGGGAAACATTCATTCACTCAAGCTGTATTTGAAAAAGCCTATAATCAGAGAATACTGTTCCTTATACAGGAAAGAATAAAAGACTTACCATACCTTTAATTCTTTTTGATTTCATCCTTAGAGCCACAAAACAGTTGAACTATTTCATGACTACCATAATCTTCTCACAATTAATTTTCTAAAAGGTGAGAAAAGAAAGACTGAATTTATCCAATCCCATACATACATCCTTAATAGTTTGACATTATTAAAAGTTCCTTGAAGAGTAGAACTTGAAACACAATTCACCTTGAACTCAGAAAGAGATTAAACTTGTTCCTGTCCAGGTTTTACTGAAAGATAATTCCCTGTGGCTCTGGGTTTACATTCAAGGAATATCTCTCATTTTTTTCTACTAGAATTTCTCCCCCTGAAGTCACCTCAAAATTCTTACACTTGAAATGTCTGAATTTGAGAATGATTTAAAAGTTTGTTCTTAACAATGATAAGGGAATTCATTTTGCCATCTGCACATTACCATTGTATGATGATCATATATATACACCCATCTTTGTTAAGAGCTTTCCAAGAAACACAGCACCCCTTTTCTTTAGCGAACACAATTACCAATCATAATTATAGTCATTCATGAAAAATTGTCCCTAATTTCATGCAGCATGAATTTCCAAGACACACCCTTCCTCCTTCATTTCCCCTTCCTCTAACCTCTTCCCCTAGAGGGGAAACCTCTAACCTCGAGGATTTTTAATTCATATGGGGTTATT